TAATTGCTTCCTTGGCTCAGTAGTTAGAGTCTCAGATGGTCTCACCACCTCTGACTTCTGACCTCAGCTCGGTTTTTGCCCTCGCACCGTGACCAATTTTGGCGTGGAAGATGATGTCAGCGTTTCAACCACCTTTGGTTCCTTCAGGTTCTCAGAAGTTGTGGTTTTAGTGGACTACAGACGTCAATCTTGTCTTTTTGTGAGATAAATCACGATCTCTGTCTGTTCTGGGTTGAAATTAATAGCAATCTTGTCTGTGAGAGATATTTAATTCTTTGCCTCTGAGTTACCTGGTTGTGCTCAGGGGACAACACATCTACTCTGATTGGGACAGTTTCCTGATGGGGTTCCACAGTGTTATGTGTTCGGACTGCTGAGTTATTATTACAGTGAGCAAAAGCAAAATAAAGTCTCAAAATTACACATGAAATTAACCAGCTTAAGAATTATTTTTTTCTAATGGTAACTAGATCAATATTTAAGTCACAGTGCTGCTTGCTGATCATCACCTCTCTTCCTAACCTAGCTCCAACAACTCTTTCCCAAATCTTCCTGGTGTGGCTCATCAGCTTTATCCCTCTGTAGTGACTACAGCTCGTCTCGGAGATTGTGTCAAACATCTCAGAAAGAAAGCCATTGCACTTCTTTAAGTTTAGCAAAGACGAAGCTTCTGAGGTGAAACGACTTCACAAAACGTAAAGCAGTCCAGCCGCTTTCGCTCCACACTCCTCAGACCACCATGAGCGGGATGACTGCGAGCCTACAGACCTCAGCCTGGTCACAAAGCTCTCTCTGCTACACACCTGCCTCCACCTCTGCTCTAAGATTATGTGCGATTCAGAGCCAGTGGCCTGGCTGTCTGCTGCCGTCTGTGATTGGAAGAAGAGGCTTGGAAAGGAAGTTATGACCGGCTGTGTGAAAGTGAAAGAAGCTCGAAACAGACGACTTGAGCGCCCTCTGCTGGAATCAAGTTAAACAGCAGCACAGACTCGCTGAGATTAACCAACGAAATTAGTTTAATCGGGATTTTAAAGAGTTTTAAAGAGTCTACTTAGCACAGCTGTACACTTCCGTTTGTGTGAGGTTCACTGATATCGCTGCTGGGTGGGGGCACAGACCCTGTTTACCTGTCGGAGCTGTGGCGCGGGCTTCCTGCCGGTGTGTGATTGGCTTCCTGCTCGCTGGGTGTGTGCTGGTCCATATCCTCTATGAGGACCCCGCTGGTTGTTTGCCGTGCTCTGCAGAGCCGCCGTCTCAGTTTGTCCCAAACAGGCCGTGGTCTCCGGGTGTCTCCGGCAGGACTCGCTGACTCTGTCGGGTGTTTCCGGATTCTCCTTCCTACAGGTGAGCGCAACTGATGTGCGCAGTAGAATCATACTGTCCTGCTAACGCTGCCCTC